AGCCAAAATAAGGGATTTTTCAGGCACAGGTATGTTCAACATTTGAGCCCCTCCAAGCCAAAGGCAGAAAGCCCAGCCAGCAGCCAAACAAAGCCTCAAGTGGTGGTTCCCACAGCGCAGCAACCCAGCAAAGGGGATGCAGCAAGGAAAACCACGTCACCTCTCCGCTGGGAAGCGCTGAGCAAAAGCGAGTCACCAGGCAACGCGGCCAATTTGATCAGCACAAGGCATGCAAGCTCCACCCTCAGTCGTTCTTAGACTCCTTATTGGGTGAGCAACGCAGCCAAGCAACACAGTTGGAGCCTCCCTCCTCCCTGGCCAGCAGGCAGGGAGGGAGAGGAGCTGCTTCCTTTGAAACCCGGGAAATTTAAGGGACATCATCAATCAGGGACAGCAGCAAGACACGGCGCTGGGGTAAGGGACTTTCTCGCCAAATAAGGGATGGTTGACAGCTATGTTTCAACCATTCATGAATGTCTCTACCTCCGAATAAAATAGATTAGAATAGATCCTGAGAACTGCAAGTTTCAAGGTTTCTCCACCAAGTCTGGGCGATTCCTATCGGAGTTCAGCCCTGTCCAGAACTGGAATCTGAAGTCACAAGAGGAGCAGTACACAAGCACATCAACGGAAACCCACAATCCTGAGAGTGAAATGGCTTCCCTGGTCTTCTAGTGTCGTAGAAAACAAACCAAATGATAGGAAAATGTGCATTAAAATCTGACACATAACATAAATTGCTTTTCTTAGTGTTTTGTGCTATAAAGAAGAGATGATATACCCCAGAGAAGTACAAAAGGAGAATGAATAGCCCTCATTGTTCATGCCGTTAGGATCACAGAACCAGCAAGTAAAGATGTAGAAAATTCTGCTGAATAGCATGATATTTTAGTGGTCATGCTGGCTTTAAAAAAAAAGTGATAAATATAAAATACTGCCTTCCCTGACACAGGAGTTCTTTTAAATGCAGCAGAGGAAGCAGAACACATTTCATATAAATAAGTGCCAATTCTTTAAAAAATCCCCCCTTAAGTCTGAAAAAATTTGTTTTTGTCTCTGTCTCCCTTACACACATTTGTGAACAATTCCATACATATACTATGCGTCTAGGCTGCCTACACTTCAAGAAAGAACTATGGTAGCAATTTCAATAGTGGATATAATGTTATTCCCAAATTTGCTATTTTCCTTTCTTCTTCTTTTTTATGGTTGCAAAGGTATGGAGTGAAAAGGTAAAAATGCACCAGGATACTTAAACGATCTTTTTCTTTGCCTCACAACTTTAGTGAATAGATTAAATAGAAGAGCTGAAAAGAGCCCGACTTGGCTTTCCCAAACAACCGCATTTGTGGTCAAACCTTTTGAAAGTTGGCCTTTCCATTTCAAAGCATGTTTGCACAACTCAGTTAAATGTTACATCTGATCACAGGTCCCCCTATAGCTTTCACAGTTCTCCCTTTGCCAACCATACTACATCATGTGATCCTGATAACTAGGTTATGTGATAACTAGGTTATGTGAATCTCTTTCTCCTGGTATGTTGTATTTTGTGCTATCTGGGGGAAAGGAGTGGAGGAGGTAGCGCTTATCGCGAAAGGCAAACTGCAACCTGTGCATGTGCACTCATGCTCAAAAAAGCATACTTGCTCATTCGAGACATGTTCAATGGAAATACACTCGCGTCAAACACTGTTGGCTCAGAAACCAATCAAAATCACGTCACCCAAAACGTCCTATGAAATAAGTTGCAAGGCTAATATGAAGTTGCTGGCTTCCAACTTCAATCTCCACACTAGCCACTGTTTCCTTTATGTCTTATTTGTTGTCCAAGGCATCAGTATCTCAGCATGCACTTTTTTGGCTATTGTAATTTAGGTTTCTTTATCCTGAGGCCCTGATATGTGTCTGAGAGCAATGATAACCCCAATGTATGGATGCAGCAGGCGTAATGTGAGGAGCTGGCGGTTCTTCCAGTTTGGAGAGGGTCAGGGGATAAAGTAAAACCAAGAGTGGTTTGCTGTATTGCAATTTATTTTGAAAAGCTTTGAATGTGTTAGGTGAAAACTTATATTTTATATTACTATAGCAAGTAGGGCCGTCTTTAGCATATGCAGTGCCGGGGTGCAGAAAACTGCTTTTTTAGGGGGAGAGAGGAGAGCAATCCCCACAGAGGCTTGGGAGGGAAGCTGCGTATGGATGGCGGACGTGCAATTCTCTCCCATGCCACTGCGGGAGGAGAGCAACCCCAATAAACGCTTGGGATGAAAGCTGTGCAGGAGGGCCGAGTCGGCTGGCTGCCTCAGCACCTGCAGTGGAAAAGCCTGCGGTGCTCCGATGGGTTCTGCTCCGCTCGGCAGCGGCTGTTGGCTGGCCTGGCTCTCCAATCCCCAGACTCCAAATCTCAGCCCCAGACTCTCAGCCTGGCGCCCCTGAGAGCCCGGCGCCCGGGTGCCCCACACCCCTACTGCCTATGGGTAAGCTGGCCCTGATAGCAAGGGTAGGTGGTTATAGGGATGAGATCCCAGACTGTGTGCATTGATATTCTTTTTTAACCACAACTCTGATTTTTTTTAAAAAAAAAAAAAACCTGTAGGCTTCTTCAGTTTCTAGCTTGACTCATATATTTTTTTCAGTTATCTTATAGTGTACCTAAACAATACCTGAGCCTTCTGTGTCCTTAATTCTCATAAAATTTAGCTGGCTAAAGTTTTGTTTCTTGAAAGTCTTTTAGACCAAGTATCTGAGATAAGGCATATCGAAGAATGCCAAGAACTTTATCCCTGTTAAAATTGGTCAATAGGACTTGTATTCAGGTATAAATGAGGTTTTAAGAACATCATTAACATCACACATTCGGATTTCTGAAGGCTTTCTGGAAAGTGCATGTAGAAGCTGGCAGATATGTGGATTTGTCTTCTTCCATCTAATTATCAACTGGAAGGCTGTTCCAAACACTACACATCTTCCCTTTAGCTGTAGAATGTTTATGGAATGTTTTATGCAAGTAGGTTAAGCAAACATGCAGTAATTGCTTGATTGCTTTCTACAGCTCTGTTTATCCCTCAGAGTAATACCAGCCACTAATCTTGTTATCACACCAAAAGAGCAAGTGAAACAAGATTACATCCATTGTCTCGTCCTAACTCTGGCGTAGGCTATTGGCAGGGAGTGTCTAAGTGTGCCAGAGATGAATGTGAAAGAATGTACTGCACTGTTTTTTATGAAATATATGGTTAATTTGTCTTTTCAAAGAAATAGAACATTACAGGCGCTTGGATATTTCAGAGTATGACTGTTTGTTTCACTTCAGCTGCTTCTTGAGAAAGATGGATAGATCTGACATTGTTTTAAAGTGCTAGAAATTGCTTGCAAATGCATGACTAGCTAAGCAAAGTGGCTGTTTTATTAGAAATATGGAGCCGGGTTTTCATCGCAGACACTTTTAACAGTGAAAACTGAAAGAACATCATTGGTCGTTGGAGTCATTCTGGATTTATGTTCCCACCCCTCCTGCCTTCTTTCTTGACTTATTTTTACACCAGAACATTCAACATTTTCCATTGTGCCCTGAATCTCCTCTTTATTCTCATTGCTCTGTTTTCTAATAGGCACAACAGGAGCAGGGCTGAAACAAGTGTTCATACGTGTTTGATATTTGACCCACTTCCCAGTTTTGTGACTCAAATATTTCAGAAATTGGGGATTCAACACTCAGATGTACCATTTGTGATGCTGTACCTCAAAACTGTAAATCTTCTAGGAATGCCGACATCTATGGATTGCTTTCTTGGCATTAAATATGCTTTTTTGGATTTACTAGGGGACTTCAGTCGAAAGTTTTGACTGGCTTGCTGGAGTAGCACATCAAAAGCCTGCACTTCATACAAGAATTGTACTGCTCTGGAGGTGGTGTCAATCATGCTAAGAATAGAAATTACCATCCCCAAACACCAATGATCACTCCAGTTCCTGAGCCAATGAGTCCCTCCACCCTTTCCCCTCCTTCTCCAGATATAGTGCTGAGGGATTTCTGGAAGTAGCTTAATAATGTAACAACATCTTAGGCCCAATTGCCACATTTCTTCATTTATTTTCTTGCATTTAAATCCTGCTTTACTTCAGATGTGGAACCCAATGTGGTATCCATGTGATTCCCAAGCAGTCAGCCATCCATCCAGGTACTGACCAGCCCCAAACCTGCTTCGCTTCAACAAGGTGGTGACTTATGAGCCTTCAAATCACCACTTTGATGACTCCAGTTGAAAAGGGAGATACAAAATCAGTCAATCAATAACGTTAATACAGTTCCTTTCCAAATGATCCTGCTGTTGGATTCTTCTGCTGTTGAATGGGAGCGGGTGGTGCTGTGGTCTAAACCACTGAGCCTCTTGGGCTTGCTAATCGGAAGGTTGGTGGTTCAAATCCACACTATGGGGTGAGCTCCCATTGCTCGGTCCCAGCTCCTGCCAACCTAGCAATTCGAAAGCACACCAGTGCAAGTAGATAAATAGGTCCCACTGTGGCGGGAAGGTAAACGGTGTTTCCCTGTGCTCTGGTTTTTGTCACGGTGTTCCGTTGTACCATAAGCAGTTTAGTCCTGCTGGCCACATGACCCGGAAAGCTGTCTGTGGACAAACGTTGGCTCCCTCAGCCTGAAGTGAGATGAGCGCTGCAACCCCATAGTCGCCTTTGACTGGACTTAACCGTCCAGGGGTCTTTTACCTTTACCTACCAACCTGTTGTTGAGTACAGTAAAGAATGGAACATTGGGAAGCAACTACTAAGCTTCTAACAGATACCTCACGTGCCACTGGGGTGCATGCTAGAGTGTCTCCCTTGAACTGCTGTCCTTGCAGCATTCCACTTCCAGAGAGCTATGCTTGGATGTGGAGATGACAGAGGGGAGCTGGACCCTGCCGCTCTCCTGCAGATCCATCCTGACAGCTTCTCTGCTGAAGGCTGTCCAGCCCCACTGACTTGCAGAATGCACAGGATGTTACAGACTTCCGGAGGCGGCGCCAACAGTAATGGCGATCTCCTCATAACTCTTGAGGAGAGGCTCCGCGGAAACTGGGTCGATCCGCTACGGCGCAGCGGAGACCCTTCCGAAACCCGCAGGCGGAGGAAGCCTGCGGTCGTGGGACTCGGCGGGTGCCTGGAGCGCGCCCCTGAACGGCAAAGGAACCCCGCGAGGGGCTCCGAGCAGGACGGGGGTAGCGCGGCACTGTGAGTCGTCTGCTACTTTCGCGGAGTGAAGCCGTGCAGCTGTTGCTGGAGAGCGCTGACCTTTCTTCCTTGACAATTCGGCTGTCAAAAGTACAACCCGTGAGTAGGTTTCACGCTATAAGGATTAACAAAAAATTTTAAACTTATTCGGCTGAAGCGGGAATGGTGTAAAAAGGAAGTCCACCTCCCGGTCTGCACAGAGAATAAAGCAAAGACTGTGTGAGTTCGATACCAATGAATGCCAAAAAGACTGAAACACAGACTTCTAATGTAAAATTTCCCCCCCCATAATTGGATTAGGGGGGGAAGAAGAGAAAGTATTTCTTTTTATTTATTGTTATTTCTGAGTAACTTAAAGACTTAATTTACTGTTATTTCTGAGTAACTTAAAGAGCAAATAAGAAAATAAAAGACCACCTCTCAATCCCTGGGGACAGACTGCCAGGCTTTGGAAGATTGGACACTTTGTTAGCACTCTAAATGGACAATGTATCTTTTTGCCTTTTAACTTTACAAAATTGAAACTTTGGGACAGTTTTACAACTTTGGGAAAAAGTTGCCTCTTTGGCTGTTTGAGAGTCTTTATTTTTGATACTTTATTACTTGTGTCCCCTGGAGGCCAAAAGGGAAAAAGCCTTTAATTGACTGAGGAATTTTCCACCTAACAGCAGCCTGGGAAAGTACAATAACAAACAATTTTGACTGTGAGAGTGACCTTGACTTTTAGATAAAGTGCCATGGAAGGAAGAGATCTGAGGTCTGGGAAAGGCAGGCAGCAGAGCAACATTGCACAACAGCAACAGCGTAGGCAATCCATAGCTGGACCACAAGGGGAGGAAGAAGGATTGGCCAGTTTATTTAAAATTGTGAATGAAGGTTTTGAAAAATTGGGTCAACAAAATGCCGAGGCTCTAGAAGCCATTAGACAAAACTCTGCAAGTATTGACAAGTTGACCCGACAGACTAATGAAAATACAGATGTGATTAAAAACTACTGGAACAATCTGCTGAAACTCAAAAAACAGCTTTGGAAGCCAGAGAAAAGGCGGTAGCTGCTGAAGAAAAACTACCACCTTTAATTAAACAAGTTCAAGAGCACCACATAAGATTGGGAACGCACCAGGAATTGTTATCTCTTCTGGAGTTAAAGGAGAAACAGACCAACTTAAGGATCAGAGCAGTACCTGAGATTGAAAAAGAGAGCCTGGCAGACTTTCTGACGCAAGAATTTGCCAACTTTTGGCAATTGAATGATAAGGAAGATTTCAAGATAACGTCTGCTTTTAGGCTCGGAAGAAGAGCAAGGAAAAATAGAGTGAGAGACTGCCTGATTACCCTGCGATCAAAAGAGGAACGAGATAAAATTTTGAGCCTACATTATCAAAATACACTGACAATACAAGACTCAAGGATAGAAATATTTAAAGACATTCCAAAGCTTCTTTTGGAGCTTAGGTCTAACTATCGAGACCTGGTGACGTTGCTGAGAGGAAACAGAATTTTTTTCAGGTGGGAGTTCCCTCAAGGCCTATCTTTCAGTTTTAGAGGCAAAAAAATTAAAATTAAATCTGTGGAGGAGAAACAGAACTTTTTGAGAGACTACCAAGAAGACCTGCAAAAAGGATTGGAGCCAGAAGCCCCTTCAATAGGATTGGATCTTACATTACCACCGTTGGGAGAGGATAAGACAGAGAAGCCGAAACCACCAACAGAGGAAGAAGAGTTATTGGGAGCAGTTGGAGGGAAATAAAGAAATCATCATGGCTCTGCAACTTTTAACTTGGAATGTTTGTGGTCTGAATTCTCCGGAAAAAGAAGGAAAGTATTTCATATACTTAAAAAGAACAATTGGACTTAATTTGCTTACAGGAAACCCATGTGACGAGGCTCCATAGGAAAATATTGATTAATAAGAGACTGGGCCAAGAATTTATCTCATCAGACAAAGTTAAAAACGAGGAGTGGTAATTTACGCAAAGGAGAGCCTCTCACCAAAATTTGTCTTTAAGGATGAACAAGGAAGATTTATAGCAATTGAAATTCAAGTACAAGGAGAAAAATTTTTGATAGTAGGTGTATATGCACCAAATGAGGGGAAATCTATATTCTACAAAAAGTTGCATGAGACCTTGATGGACTATATGGACTATAATACTGTTTTCATGGGAGATATGAATGGGGTGGTTTCTACAAATATGGACAAGTCACAAAGAGAGGTAGTTACTAAAGATGGTAGACTACCGAAAACATTTTTGAACTAACTGACAATATGGATTTGATTGACATTTGGAGAACTAAGAACCCCTTGATAGAGAAGGAACCTTTTTTTCTGAAGCCCAGAAGACATGGACAAGAATTGACCAAATCTGGACTACTAGAGGACTGGCACCCAAGGTTAAGAAGGTAGAGATCTGCCCAAAAACATGCTCCGACCATAACGCCGTGAGAATGGAGATGAAGTTAACATCTATCGGTTCCTTCCGATGGAGGATGAATGACACCTTGTTTAGAGATCAAGAGGTGATTAAGAAGGCCCAAAAGACATTGAGGGACTATTTTGAGATAAACTTGAATACAACTGTAGAAAAAGAGTAATCTGGGATGCAAGCAAAGCTGTTATGAGGGGCTTCCTGATTCAACAGAATTCAATTAAGAAGAAGGCCCAAAACGCAAAGAAAGAGAAAATTTTGGAAAAAATAAAGGAGGGCGAGAAGAAATTGAGAGTGAAGCCCAATTCACAAGAGATTCTGAGGGAAATAAAATTGTACCAAGTGCAATATATGAAATTGATAAATCAAGAAGTGGAATGGAAAATCAAGCAAATGAGACAAAAGACTTTTGAATCGGCAAATAAATGTGGGAAACTGCTGGCTTGGCAGTTGAAGAAGCGACAAAAACTTAATACTATTACTAATTTGGAAGTGGAAGGGAAAAATATCCAGAATCCAGAAGAAATTAGGAAATGCTTCCAGAGATATTTTAAACGACTATACACACAAGGGCCTCAGAAAGAATTTGAGATAGAGCAATTTTTGAAAACCAATGGATTACAAAAATTTCTCAGGACAATAAGATATTGTTGAACTATAAAATCACAGAACAGGAGGTTGAAGGTGCCATTCAGAATATGCAGTTGGGAAAATCTCCAGGACCGGATGGTTTAACCTCAAAATATTACAGAACTTTGAAAGACTGGTTAATTCGACCTTTAACTGAGGTTTGTAATGAAATCTTAGAGGGGAAAAGAGCGCCAGAGTCGTGGAAAGATGCATTTATTACACTTATACCAAAGGCCGAGACTGAAAAGACACAGCTTAAGAACTACCGGCCCATATCCCTGTTAAATGTGGATTACAAAATTTTTGCTGACATTTTAGCAAAAAGGCTTAAAAAGTGCTAAAAGAAGTGATTCACAAGGACCAAGCTGGCTTTCTTCCAGATAGACATCTCTCGGACAACACAAGGAACATAATTGATATTCTGGAGAAGCTGCAAGAGGAGATCAATACTAAAGCAGTTTTGATTTTTGTGGATGCAGAGAAAGCCTTTGACAATATTTCTTGGAGTTTTATGAAAAAAATCTTCAGGGGATGGGGGTAGGCCAAGAGTTTGAAAATGGTATAAATGCAATTTACTCAGAACAAAAAGCTAAATTAATAGTTAATAATGTGATAACAGAGGAAATTAAGATAGAGAAAGGGACACGACAAGGCTGCCCAATTTCCCCATTACTTTTTATTTCTGTTCTGGAGGTTTTGTTAAATATGATAAGAAGGGACCATCTGATTAAGGGCATAACGGTCGGAGCGAAACAATATAAATTGAAAGCATTTGCAGATGACCTTGTATTGACATTACAGGAGCCAGAATCTAGTACGAAAAGAGCATTAGAACTGATTCAAGACTTTGGTCAGGTGGCAGGTTTTAAGTTGAATAAGCTTAAAACTAAAGTACTTGAGAAGAATTTAACACCGATTGAAAAAGAGAGGTTTCAGAATGAGACAGGTTTAACAGTGGTAAAAAAAGTGAAATATCTGGGGATTCACATGACAGCTAAAAACGGGAATTTATTTAAAGACAATTATGAAAAATGTTGGTCGGACATTAAAAAGGATTTAGAAATATGGACAAATTTGAAGCTTTCCTTGTTAGGGCGAATTGCTGTCATCAAGATGAATGTATTGCCAAGAATGTTGTTTTTGTTTCAATCGATACAAATAATAGACAAAATGGACTGTTTTAAGAAGTGGCAGAGAGATATTTCTAAGTTTGTCTGGCAGGGCAAGAGGCCTAGGATAAAATTTAAAATATTGACTGATGCTATATAACGAGGGGTTTTTGCCCTGCCAGACTTTAAACTCTATTATGAATCAGCAGCTTTCTGCTGGTTGAAGGATTGGCTACTTCTGGAAAATACTGATGTATTGGACTTAGAAGGTTTCAATAATGTGTTTGGGTGGCATGCATATCTGTGGTATGACAAGGTTAAAGCTCACAAAATGTTTAAAAACCATATTGTCAGGAAAGCATTGTTCAATGTCTGGATAAGATACAAAGACTTATTGGAGAATAAAACCCCAAGGTGGTTATCACCAATGGAGGCAAAGGCCCTAAAAAAGTCCAATATGGAGGCCAAATGGCCAAAATATTGGGAGATCTTGGAACAAGAAGGAGACAAATTCAAACTGCAGAGTTTTGAAAAATTAAAAGATAGAGTGCGAGACTGGTTGCATTATTACCAAATAAGAGAGGTCTATAATTTGGATAGAAAAATTGGCTTCCAGGTGGAAAAATCAAAGTTGGAAACAGAATTGCTAGATCCCAAAACTAAAACACTTTCAAGAATGTATAACTTGCTGCTAAAATGGAATACTCAGGATGAAACGGTAAAATCTGCTATGATTAAATGGGCACAGGATATTGGACATAACATTATGTTTGCTGACTGGGAATGGTTATGGACCACAGGTACGAAGTTCACAGCATGTAATGCTTTAAAAGAGAATATTATGAAAATGGTGTACAGGTGGTACATGACCCCAGTTAAGCTTGCAAAAATCTACCATTTGCCCGATAATAAATGTTGGAAATGTAAGGAAACTGAAGGTACATTCTTTCACCTTTGGTGGACGTGCCCAAAGATTAAGGCCTTCTGGGAAATGATATATAATGAGTTGAAAAAGGTATTTAAGTATACCTTCTTAAAGAAACCAGAGGCCTTCCTCTTGGGCATTGTTGGCCAATTGGTGCCAAAGAAAGATAGAATTTTCTTTATGTATGCAACAGCAGCAGCAAGAATACTCATCGCAAAGTATTGGAAGACACAGGACTTACCCACTCTGGAAGAATGGCAGATGAAGGTAATCGAATATATGGAACTGGCGGAGATGACTGGCAGAATCCGTGACCAGGGAGAAGAGTCGGTGGAAGAAGATTGGAAGAAATTTAAAGTCTATCTACAGAAATACTATAAAATTAATGAATGTTAAATTGAAGTTTGATTGAAAATAACTGGTATTGGCAAAAGCCTTGGGATTAAGAGTATGGAATATTTGACTGATAAGGTTGTAAAAATATTTATATATAAATAGATTAAGTTTTCTGAGTTAAGATAATGAAAGGAGGGTAAGGATTTGCTGAAAGGAGTTCTTAAATGGAAATACAAGCGGGGAGGTGCGGGGAAGTCAAAGAACCAGGTAAAGATAAGAAGGATAAATGAAAATATAATATTCTTTGAATTTTTTTTGTCTCTTTTTCTTTTTTTCCTTATTCTTTTTTTGTTATGGATACGGTTATTTCTGTTTGTTTTTTGTCATGGTTATTGTTGTTTTTTGTTTGTTGAATTTTTGTAATTCTGTATTTTGTATTTTTTTTTGGAAATTTTTCTTGTAAAACCAATAAATATTTTATAAAATAAAAA